GCTGAGAAGAATGTATATTCTGTTGATTTGGGGTGGAGAGTTCTATAGATGTCTATTAGGTCTGCTTGCTGCAGAGATGAGTTCAATTCCTGGATATCCTTGTTAACTTTCTGTCTCGTTGATCTGTCTAATGTTGACAGTGGAGTGTTGAAGTCTCCCATTATTATTGTATGGGAGTCTAAGTCTCTTTGTAAGTCTCTAAGGACTTGCTTTATGAATCTGGGTGCTCCTGTATTGGGTGCATATATATTTAGGATAGTTAGCTCTTCCTGTTGAATTGATCCCTTTACCATTATGTAATGGCCTTCTTTGTCTCTTTTGATCTTTGATGGTTTAAAGTCTGTTTTATCAGAGACTAGTATTGCAACCCCTGCTTTTTTTTGTTCTCCATTTGCTTGGTAAATCTTCCTCCATCCCTTTATTTTGAGCCTATGTATGTCTCTGCGTGTGAGATGGGTCTCCTGAATACAGCAGACTGATGGGTCTTGACTCTTTATCCAGTTTGCCAGTCTGTGTCTTTTAATTGGAGCATTTAGTCCATTTACATTTAAGGTTAAGATTGTTATGTGTGAACTTGATCCTGCTATTATGATATTAACTGGTTATTTTGCTCGTTAGTTGATGCAGTTTCTTCCTAGCCTTGATGGTCTTTACATTTTGGCATGTTTTTGCAATGGCTGGTACCGGTTGTTCCTTTCCATGTTTAGTGCTTCCTTCAGGGTCTCTTGTAAGGCAGGCCTAGTGGTGACAAAATCTCTAAGCATTTGCTTATCTGTAAAGGATTTTATTTCTCCTTCACTTATGAAACTTAGTTTGGCTGGATATAAAATTCTGGGTTTAAAATTCTTTTCTTTAAGAATGTTGAATATTGGCCCCCACTCTCTTCTGGCTTGAAGAGTTTCTGCCGAGAGATCTGCTGTTAGTCTGATGGGCTTCCCTTTGTGGGTAACCCGACCTTTCTCTCTGGTTGCCCTTAAGATTTTTTCCTTCATTTCAACTTTGGTGAATCTGGCAATTATGTGTCTTGGAGTTGCTCTTCTCGAGGAGTATCTTTGTGGCGTTCTCTGTATTTCCTGGATTTGAATGTTGGCCTGCCCTACTAGGTTGGGGAAGTTCTCCTGGATGATATCCTGAAAAGTGTTTTCCAACTTGGTTCCATTTTCCCCCTCACTTTCAGGCACCCCAATCAGACGTAGATTTGGTCTTTTCACATAATCCCATACTTCTTGCAGGCTTTGTTCATTTCTTTTTCTTCTTTTTTCTTTTGGTTTCTCTTCTCGCTTCATTTCATTCATTGGATCCTCAATCGCTGACATTCTTTCTTCCAGTTGATCGAGTCGGTTACTGAAGCTTGTGCATTTGTCACGTATTTCTCGTGTCATGGTTTTCGTCTCATTTCGTTTGTGAGCGTCTCTGCATTAATTACTCTAGCCATCAATTCTTCCACTTTTTTTTCAAGATTTTTAGTTTCTTTGCGCTGGGTACGTAATTCCTCCTTTAGCTCTGAGAAATTTGATGGACTGAAGCCTTCTTCTCTCATCTCGTCGAAGTCATTCTCCGTCCAGCTTTGATCCGTTGCTGGCGATGAGCTGCACTCCTTTGCCGGGGGAGATGCACTCTTATTTTTTGAATTTCCAGCTTTTCTGCCCTGCTTTTTCCCCATCTTTGTGGTTTTATCTGCCTCTGGTCTTTGATGATGGTGATGTACTGATGGGGTTTTGGTGTAGGTGTCCTTCCTGTTTGATAGTTTTCCTTCTAACAGTCAGGACCCTCAGCTGTAGGTCTGTTGGAGATTGCTTGAGGTCCACTCCAGACCCTGTTTGCCTGGGTATCAGCAGCAGAGGCTGCAGAAGATAGAATATTTCTGAACAGCGAGTGTACCTGTCTGATTCTTGCTTTGGAAGCTTCCTCTCAGGGGTGTACTCCACCCTGTGAGGTGTGGGGTGTCAGACTGCCCCTAGTGGGGGATGTCTCCCAGTTAGGCTACTCAGGGGTCAGGGACCCACTTGAGCAGGGAGTCTGTCCCTTCTCAGATCTCAACCTCCGTGTTGGGAGATCCACTGCTCTCTTCAAAGCTGTCAGACAGAGTCGTTTGCGTCTGCAGAGCTGCTGCGTTTGTTATTGTTTACTGTGCCCTGTCCCCAGAGGTGGAGTCTACAGAGACAAGCAGGTTTCCTTGAGCTGCTGTGAGCTCCACCCAGTTCGAGCTTCCCAGCAGCTTTGTTTACCTACTTAAGCCTCAGCAATGGCGGGCGCCCCTCCCCCAGCCTCGCTGCTGCCTTGCCGGTAGATCACAGACTGCTGTGCTAGCAATGAGGGAGGCTCCGTGGGTGTGGGACCCTCCCGGCCAGGTGTGGGATATGATCTCCTGGTGTGCCTGTTTGCTTAAAGCGCAGTATTGGGGTGGGAGTTACCCGATTTTCCAGGTGTTGTGTGTCTCAGTTCCCCTGGCTAGGAAAAGGGATTCCCTTCCCCCTTGCGCTTTCCAGGTGAGGCAATGCCTCGCCCTGCTTCAGCTCTCGCTGGTCGGGCTGCAGCAGCTGACCAGCACCGATCGTCTGGCACTCCCCAGTGAGATGAACCCAGTACCTCAGTTGAAAATGCAGAGATCACCGGTCTTCTGTGTCGCTCGCGCTGGGAGTTGGAGACTGGAGCTGTTCCTATTCGGCCATCTTAGAAAGTTCCCCCCATAAGCTTAGTTTATCTAAAAGGTGAGAGCATCAAATTTAGCCTATTTTTCATTAAACATTTCAATAGGAAATTGAACCTATTTTTTCATTACCTGTAAAAATAGTCTCGGTGACCCTTACAAGACTACTGTTGTAATAAATAAAATCTTCATGCCCCTCTCTCTCCACCATCTCTCAGCTAACATTGCAGAGTAATGGATAAATGAATTTTGCATTTCTCCTTGTCAGGTTTCAGTTATAAAAGGGGTCTTTTATTTAAGTTTCCAAAATGCCACCACTTGTGTAAATCTAAAGTTATTCTGAAATAAAAAGATTTTTAAAAATCCAACAATGTTGGAACATAAATATAGATGTACTTTCTCTAGCATACTTGGAACTATTTAGCAAGATCCCTAACTTGAGTTTACAGCTGTGGAATTACTAGGCAAAATGGAAAGTTATACTCCTTGATGTCTAACAGATAGGGAAGCAAATCCAGAAAAATAAGCAGTTGAGATTGCTCATATAGAAGACTACTTCTGACAGAGTGGTACTTACCTAAATCAAAATATTTAAATAGTCAAAATATACGTTGTATAAATTAAACCTCCCTGGACCTTGGTTTACTCATCTGTATAATGCAATGGTTGGATCCGATGATCTCTGTAGTTCTTTCTTCCATGAATCTTTTATGATTCCAGAATTTGGGGACATAAAAGAGCTACAATAAAGACATATAATTCACAAAGGAAGTAATATTCTATGTTAATTGGCTTTTTACCCGTTTACAATGTAGTAATACTATAATACATAAGGTAGACTGGTTTTGTCTCTTTAATAACCTTATTTGCTGAAAGAGCAGAGAGATATGGGAGAGAATGCTTGATGTAAGAGTGGTGCATGAGGTGGGTACAGTGGTGTGTGCCTATACTAGCTACTTGGGAGGCTGAGGTGGGAGGATCACTTGAGCCCAGGAGTTCAAGGCCAACCTGGGCAATATAGCAAGACCCCATTTCCTAAAGAGAGAGGGGTCGGGGTGTGTAGATATGTGTATGGAAAACGATAGCTTCAATTCCTTTCTTATAGCAAATATAAAAATTGGAGAGGTATCATAGTCTTCAGTGTAAAAGCTAAACCCATAAAGTTTTAGGGAAGAAATATAGGAGAATATTTGCATGATTCAGGAGTAAGCAAAGGTTTCTTAGACATAATTCAGAAAACAATCACCATAAAAAGAAACATGGAATAAATCAGACCGCATCAAAATTAAAAACTTCAGCTCATTAACAGAAATCATTAGAATAATGAATAGGCAAGCCAAAATCTGGTAGAAAACATTTATAAAACATGTACAGTCAGTACAATCAATTTGAAAAAGTTCTCATGGTTTCTTAGAAAGCTAAACACACATCTGTCTACCCTATGACCCAGCAATTTCTATTATTAGATATGTAGCCAAAAATTAAGATATATATTCACAAAATGACTTGTATAAGAATGTTCATGGCAGCTTTATTTATAATATCTCACAACTGGAACAGCCTAGGTATCCATCAGTAGGAGGACAAGTAAACAAATTGTGGAGTATACCTAGTAATTAAAAAAAGATAGTTGCATATAACAGTATGGGTGAATTTCTAAAACATTATTCTGAGTAAACAAATCTTTACACAAGAGATTACCTAGTGTGTGTTTCCATTTATATGTAGTTCTAGAATAGTCAGAGCTAATCTATGGTGAAAAAGAAAATCAGGATACTTGTTGCCTCTGAAGGATGAAGAAGGAATTAATTAGGAAGAGGCTCAAGGGAGCGTTCTGGGGTATAGTAATATTCTATATCTTGACTAGCATTTAGTTACTTATACGAGTTTGCCTTTGTGAAAACTAAGCAAATGTACATTTAAGATTTTTGTGCAATTCTTTGTGTGAAAATTTTATTTCAAAGAAAAAACTAATATTAAAATCCAGTTAACAATGTGCTTGCTGAAAAATTTTGGGGAAAGTATACTGACATTTGTAAATTATATTGAAATGCATAAAAAATAAGATGGATTAATGAGTTGATAGAGGAATGGATAGATGAATTTTAAAATATTAATGGTAGTATTTAGATGGTGGTAATACAGGCTGTTCATTGTCAAATTCTTTTAACCTTTTTGCATGTTTGAAAAGGAGATTTCAAACATGCAGAGCAAGATGATTAATAATTTTCTCTGCACTAAGTATTTCTTTATGTTTTTAGAGTTGTTTTTCAAATATCAACTTTTAAATTAGATACTCATTTTCTTTTCCTCAGTAGTAATACTCATTAGGTTTGTGTGTTTTCTCTAGAATTGCAAATGAGAAGATCAGGCCTACCGGTCACTGATGCAGCCCTAATTTTTGTGCTGACCATAGGAGTCATTATCTGTGTATTTATAATCTTCTTATTGATCTTCATAATCGTAAATTGGTAAGTGAATGGCGGAATGCATCATCACCCTTGATTGACATCCTCCTCTTCTTCCCTCTCCTCATCCAGTGAATTGCAAAGCCCTGTCCGTGTTGTCTCCTACATGTTGCCTTGAAACTGTCCATCTCCTTTCATTACTCCTGTGACTGCCCTAGTTCAGGCTACCCCATCTCTTTTTTAGATGCTTTTTAAAACAATCTCATGACTTGCTTCTCGAACTACGAGAGAGCTTTTAAATGCGATTTTTACAATTTTACATGGTAATTGCTTTAAAAAGTTTTATTTAATGAATATTTGTGTTGTCCAGTTTTGGTTCTCTCAACTCTAAAACTTGGTTATTGTAACCTACTAATTCATTTGTATGACAATATTTATAATACCTACATGAGTAGTACACCCTGGTAAATCTGAGGGCTCATGTACTATCGATTTGTAGCTGATGCATCACAAACTAAAAATGAATAATGAACACAAAAGGCATTTCTTAGAGAAGAGGTAATATATATGTTTTATATGTATGTACATATATTGTATATACAATATACATATATCTATGTACATATATTCTATATGCAATATAAATATATATAGGTCATATATGCATGCCAAATATGCATATAGTATATATTATTTATATATAATATACAGGTTATATATATTTGTATATGTGCAGGTTGTATATGTTTGTACCATATATAATATATAATATATAATATATACATGCAGGTAATACACACATATATATATTTCTATACATAGAAAATATAGAGATCTGTTCAGTTTTAGTTTTCGCTTCATATGGTGGTTTTGGTTTTTGCTTTTTTCTTCCAGGGCAGCAGTCAAGGCTTTCTGGGGGGCAAAAGCCTCTACACCTGAGGTACAATCAGAGCAGAGTTCTGCGAGATACAAAGATTCAACTTCTCTTGACCAATTACCAACAGAAATGCCTGGTGAAGATGATGCTTTAAGTGAATGGAATGAATGATGTATGAATGATATATAACAAATCAAAGGATATTACAGAATATTAGATTCATTATTATAAAAATAAAATATACATTGAAATACTTTAATAATGTTGCAATGGATTGCCACAGTGTGAAGGAAATGCAATGTGAGGGTAGGACTACTTTATCACTGCTTTTTTCCAGTACAGTTATCAAATACTACTTTTAATTTTTTCTCAACACTTATTTCAGGTAATAGCTTGGGGATATTTATCTAAAGGTACCCCCAACAAATCTTCTAAGTGCATTTTTGATCACTTTGATAACTTCTTAGGTGATTTTCCTGTTTTGTCCTAAATAAGAACAATGTAATATAGAAATGCTCTACACATTAGACTTCCTCTCCCCTGAAAGCACTGTGTGTTGAACTTGCTAAAGCAAATCACACTTTAGAATTTCTGCAGGGAATGTGACATACAAAGTTTGTAAGACATGAAGTAATAATGATAATGATAACAATAAATACTTAGTGACTACTATGTGCCAAGCATTGCTCAATCCATTTTCCATATATTAGGTGACTTAAATATGATTCTATATAGGAAATATGTAAGGAAGAACTGGAGAGGAACTTGGAGGTGCCTGAGGAAATGACATGAATTTAACACATCCTGTATTTCTCAGAGAAGCAGTGAGTTAAGGACTTTTGAATGACCACTGATAAGCACCTTCATTGTTCTTGGTATACAGGTAACATCTCAGAACCAAGGTACTTAACATTATCACTGCCTTTTTGTTCTGTGTAATTATGTGATACTGTTATGGCCAACTATCAAACAAGGTACCAAGACATTATTTTGATTCAGTAGACTTCATCAGAAATGAATTTTCAGAGGTTATCATGGTAGCACAAAATATATACTTTTTAATGTTTATATGAATTCTATGCCAACTTTATTTCTATTATTATGGGATTAATCTGATACCATTAACTCTTTGCACACCTGTGCAGAAGACATTGTAAATGGGCATTTATGGTACAACTCCCTCTAGTAGCCAAGAAATAGGCTGTGTTGTAGAATTATTCATGTTTTCTGTTACATAGCATTTGTATTTGAGAAAAGCAATGAGGAATTGGCTGGAAAATGATTTTGTTATCTATTGTAGGAAATCCACTGAGGACTTTAAGTGAAAAAAATTGTTTTCATAACATTTTCCAAAAGAATTATTTTTGGTTGCCCCCGGAGGTTCTGTCTGGGGAGTTTCTCAGTTGGTAGTGGCTCAGTAGCTTTGGCGGGGGTGGTGGGAGTGGTAGGGGTGGTGGGGGTGGTGCGGGTGGGGGTGTAGGGGGTGGTGGCTTGAGGCTCAGGCCTGGAGAACCTGTCCAGTAAGGAGCTATGGGAACAGGCACCCACATAACAGTCTGGCCACTTTTCTGTAGGGCTGCTGTGGTATGCTTGGGGCCCGCTCCAGTCCCTTGTCATCTCAGATTTTCCAGAACTGGAGGTGTCCCCAGTGAAGGCTATGAAACAGCAAAAATGGCAGCCTGCCCCTCTCTCTGGGAGCTTTGTCCCAAGGAGTCATGGACTTGTTGCCCACCCAAAGGCATTTGTAGGAAATGACTGGAGACCCCAGCTGGGAAGTCCTGCCCTGTGAGAAGGAATGGGATCAGGAGAAAAGCAGTCTGGTCACGTTTTGGTAGAGCAGCTGTGCTGCACTGGGGGTCCACTTCTGCCTCCAGTCACCTCAGACACTCCAAAACCCAAAGGCTGGAACAGCTAAGTCACCCTCACAGCAAAGATGGCAGCCTGCTCCTCCCCTGAGAGCTCTGTCCCTGAGTAAATTCACATCTCTGTAGGTTGGAGAACATGGGCAGGGGTGGCTGGAGGCCCTGGCTGGGAGGTTCTGCCCAGTGAGGAGGAACAGAATCAGGTACCCGCTTAAAGCAGCAGTCTGGCCACATTTTGGTAGGGAAGCTATGCTATGCTGGAGGACCCCTTCCACTGTGGGTTGGCTTCGACTCTCCAAAGCCCGAAGGCTGGAACAGCTAAGTCACCGTAACAGCAAAGATGGCAGCCTGCCCCTCCCTCTGGGAGAGCCATCCCAGGGGCAATTCAGATCTCTGTTGGCTGAAGAGCTTGGACAGAGGTGGTTGGAGGTCTCAGTTGGGAGGTTCTGCCCAGTGAGGAGGAATGGGATCAGGCATCCACTTAAAGCAGCAGTTGGCCACATTTTGGTAGAGCAACTGTGCTGTGCTGTGCTGTGCTGGGGGATCCCTTCCACCACAGGTCAATTCAGACTCTCCAAAGCCTGAAGGCTAGAATGGCTATGGCACCCAAACAGCAAAGACATGGCCTGCCCCTCCCCCCTGGGAGCTCATTCTTAGGGAGGTGCAATGCCACTAATGGTAGCTGGCTGGAATTCCAAGCCAGTGGGTCTTACCTTGGGCTTTTCTTCCTCTGAGTCTTTCTTTGATGGGAGACTTTTTATTATGACTTTGATTTTGCTACTCATTATTAGTTTGTTGAAGTTTTCTATTTCTTCATTGTGTTTAATCTTGGTAGATTGCATGTATGAAGGAATTCATTTCTTCTAAATTTTCCAATTTGTTGATGTATTATTGTTTATAATAGTCTCTAATGATACTTTATATTTCTGAGATCTCAGTTGTTGTATCTTCTTTTTGATTTCTGATTTTATTTATTTGGTTCTCCCCTCTTTTTGTTAGTCTAGCTGAAGGCTTGTCAATTCTGTTTACCTTTTCAAGAAACCGACTTTTTGTTTTGTTGATCTTCTGTAATTTTTAAAATCTCAATTTCATTTATTTCTGCTCTGATATTTATTATGTCTTTCCTTCTCCTAATGGGTTTAGTTTGTTCTGCTTTTTTAGTTATTTGAGGTACATCATTAGGTTATTTGAAGTCTTTCTCCTTTTTTGGTGTAGACATTTATTGCTATAAACATCCCTCTTAGTACTGCTTTTGCTTTATCCCATAAATTATAGTATGTTACATTTCCATTTTCATTTGTTTCAAGAAATTTTTAAATTTTCTTGTTAATTTCTTCATTGACCCATTGGTTGTTCAGAAGGATGTTGTTTAATTTGCGTGTGTTTGTGTATTATCTGAGTTGCCTCTTGTTATTGATTTCTAGTTTTATTCTATTGTGGTGAGAAAAGATACTTGATATGATTTCTGGATTTCAAAATTTTGTTTAGATGAGTTTTGTGGCATAAGATATGGTCTGTTCTGGAGAATGTTCATATGCTAAAGCATGTGTATTCTGCTGCAGTTGGGTAAAATGTTCTGTAAATGTCAGCTAGGCCTATTAGATCTAGTAGGTAGATTAACTCCCCTTTTATTTTGTTGATTTTCTGTCTGGATGAGCTGTCCACTGTTGAGAACAGGTTGTTAAAGTCCCCTGCTATTATTGTATTTCAGTAGATATCTCTCTTTATATCTATTAATGTTTGTATTAAATATTTGGGAGTTCCAGTGTTGGGTGCATAGATATTTATAGTTGTTACATCCTGTTTAATAGACTCTTTTATCTTTATATAGTGTCCTTTGTCTCTTTTTATAATCTTAAATGTGTAGTCTATTTTATGTGATATAAGTATAGCTACTCCTGCTCTATTTTGGTTTCCAGTTGCATGGAATATTTTTTCCACCCCTCATTTTCAGTCTATCTTTATAGGTGAAGTGGGTTTCTTGAAGGCAGCATATAGTTGAGTCTTGTTTCTTTATCCATTCAGCCACTGTATGCCTTTTACTTGGAGAATTGAGACCATTTTACATTCTGTTTTATTATTGATAATTAAGAACTTACTAATGCGAATTTGTTGCCTGTTTTCTGGTTGTTATGAGACCTCTCTCTTCATTTTCTCCTTTCTTACTATCTTCCTTTGTGGTTAAGTGATTTTCTCTGATAGCGTGTTTTGATTAGTTGTTTTTATTTTTAGTGAATCTATTATAGATTTTTGCAGTGTAGTTACCATGAGGGTTATCAAAAACATTTTGTAGATATAACAAGTTACTTTAAAAGAGATGATGACTTAAAACATATTAAAGACTAGAAACAAAGGCAAAAAAGGAACACACAAAATATTTACATTTTAACTCCATTCCCCTGACATTTGGACTTTTAATTGTCTCAATTTACATATTTTTATATTACTTATCTCTTAACAGGTTGCTGTACCTATCATTGTTTCTGATAAATTTGTATTTTGGGCTTCATACTAAAGTTTTGAATTGGTTATACACCACAATTAAAGCAATAGAGTATTCTGGGTTTGTCTATGTATTTAATTTTACCAGCGGGTTTTATAGCTTGAAAAGTTTTCCTTTTGCACATTAGTAGTTTTTTTCTTTCAGATTAAAGAACTCTCTTTAGTACTTCATGAAAAATGGTTCTTGTGGTGCAGAATTCTCTCAGCTTTTGTTTGAGAAAGACTTTCTCTCTCCGTCATATTTGAAGGATAATTTTTTTGGATGTAATATTCTGGATGGCATTTTTTTTTTCCTTAAGTACTTTGAAAATGTCATTCCACTTCCTCCTGGCCTATTTTGCTTCCATGAGAAGTTGGTTGCCAGATGAGTTGGAGCTCTCTTGTATCTTATTTGCCTTATCTTGCTGCTTTTGGAATTTTCTCTTTGTCCCTGACCTTTAAGAGTTTGATTACTATATACTTTGGGGTAGTCTTATTTGGGTTGAATCTATTTGGTGTTCTCAGACCTTCCTGTACCTGGATACTTGTATCTTTCTCATGTTTTGGAAAGTTTTCAGTTATTTCTTTGAATAACCTTTCTACATTTTGCTCTTCCTTAGCTCCCCCTTGGACACCAATAATTCTTAGATTTGATCCTTTAAGGTAATTTTCTGTATCTCATAGGTTTTTGTGGGTCCTTTTTGTTTTTTTTTTTATCTTTTTCTTTTTTTCTCCTCTGACTGTGTGTTTTCAAATGCTTAGTCTTTGAGCTCACTGATTCTTTCCTCTACTTGGTCCATTTTGCTGTTGAGAGCCTTTAATGAGTTCTTCAATTCAGTAAACGTGTTTCTCCAATTCCAAGATTTCTGTTTAATTTTTTTAATCACTTCAATCTCTTTGTTGAATTTCTCTGATGAATTTTTGAATTGCTCTTCTATGTTATCTTGGAGATCACTGAGTTTCTTTAAAATTGCTGTTTTGAATTCTTGGTTGGAGAGCTCACAAATCATCATCTTGTTAGGCTCAGTCACTGGATTTTTGCTTTATCTTTCTGAGGAGATCATGGTTCCCTATTTGCTCCTGTTTCTAGTAGGTATATACCTATGTCTTTGCACTGAAGGATTAGTTATTTCCTTTTTCTCTTCCTGGCTTTTCAAAATATATGTATATGTGTATATATATGTATATATGTGTGTGTGTATATATATGTGTATATATATTTGCTTAGCAAATCCTTACCACTAAGTTGCTGCCTCCTTTTTGGTTCCAGATGCCATCTTAAGCCCAGGTTTGCCTTGCTCTGGTAAATGATGGGAGTGCTGCGTGTCCCAAATGGGAAGGGTCCCAAAGACATTATCCTGGAGGTGTGGAAAGACGGGCTAGGAGTTTGTGCCCAGGGGACCTGTGGAACATACTTCCAATAGTGTGGTGCTGTTGTGTAGCCACTCTGATTTGACATCTCCTTTGACCAACTTACAGGCAGTTTCCAGGGCTGGGGATAGTGATTCCACCTACCTCCTTTGTCTCTGTCTTTCCTCAGGGATATTTCCTTCCTCAGGCAGTCACAATAGTTCCTATGGGTTAAGGCAATAAACCTTCCTTCCAGGGAACCCAAGATAGTAGGAAAGTTAGTTTACCACCTCAATTTCATTTTTTTCGGTGTAGATACCATGAGTTTCTACATGGGGAAGATTTTCCATGTACTTGTTGCCAGAATGAATGGGGAGGGAGAGGCATCACAGATGTGGAAATCTGCTTCTCTTACCATCTGCTCAGAGTTTTTACACTTCCCTGTGGCCTTGGGAACTATTTCATCCTCATATTTGAGTTCTAGGTTGTTGCTGGTGAAAATCTCAGTGCTGTATATTTGTTTTAGGGGAGGGAGAGGGAGAGGGAGTGAAGCCAGTTTGCTTCTATGCTTTCATTTTAAAACTGGAAGTCCCCAATCCTTGTTTGTAAAACCACGAACAGCAGTGGGTCCCAGCTATACTTTAATGAACATTAGTGTTTAGCCAGGTTAACTGGGTTAGTTGTCATCGGTGCTGTCCACTGAATATTTCTGGCT